CCCCAAAACCCCAAAACCCCAAAACCCCAAAACCCCAAAACCCCTAAATATTAGTCACTTGTTGATTTATTATTTATAAATGTCAATGCTCAAGAAATCGCAATCGTTTTTCCCAGGATCCGATCCACCACCTCCAACCCCTACATTGGGTAAAACTGAAGATGCTAAGTCAAGTAAGCTTTATCTATAATGATATTTCAATTTGGTAATTTTCCTAATGTTATTTAGGTTTATTTGGAGCTCCAAAGAAGGAAGTAGCCAATCCAACAGGGCTTTTTGCTAACAAAACTACCACAGGAGGACAATCCACAACAGCATCTTCCACAGGAGGAGGGCTATTTGGCGGAGGTGCCAAAACTAGTGGAACTACAGGTTTATTTGGAAGCAAGACAGAAACTTCAGGGACTTCAACTGGGCTTTTTGGAAGCAAACCAGCCACGACTGGGGGGTTCGGGAGTACCGCGTCTAAACCTTCGACTGGGCTTTTTGGAGGTTCGTCAACAACCGCTAGTACTAGTTCAGGAGGAGGTTTATTTGGACAAAAAACCACTTCTGCTCCTACTCTTGGACAACCAACTCAGCTTGGAGTTGCTCAACCGCAAGGAGATACTAATCAGGCTGAGATAGAAGGATGCTTAAATAACTATGCTCAAATTATTGATCCTTGAAATGCTAAAAACAATCTAGTTGCATGTATGTACAACAAATTTAACAAGAATGTTTCAGGATTGTTAAAAGAGCAAATCAAAAATATCGCTCCAGTAAAGGACGTTGCTTCAATTCCTGAAAACTCCAAGCTTGACGGAGAGACAGTTGGACAAAAGCAAGTAGAGGTGTTTATTAACCAGAAAAAGTATTCTAAGGCTAAAAATGAGAATCCTAATCCAGACCAACTATACATCAAGCAGATTAACAGCTATGGAGAGCTTTATGAGTAAGTTTTCAGCCTTATACTTAGACGTCTTCATATCCTCAAAAAGACAGCAAAGCAAGTGACTGATGCCATGAAGAATATTAAAGAGAAAATGAATTCTGTAAAGAATAAAGTTAATTCAGATGCCAAGCTCAAGCAGGGCATCAAGACTCTAAAAGAGAATATGAAAATGTTAAGAGGCAAAATCCTAGCAGTTCAGTCAAAATTAAGTCTTGTCAAAGAATCGCCTTATTTATCTCTCGAAGATCATGAGAGATTAGATAAGGTATTTAAAGAAGCAACTCAGCCAAATAAGATTCCAGGAAAGATAGAGACTATCAAGGGAAAGCTCGAAGACCTTCTTGAGGCAAGAGGAGCCCATCCGTCTACCCAGCCAGCTCAGGCATTTAATTCAATCTCTAACGATGAGAAAAGAAGAGTTATCTCTGTCATGAGAGAGCAGACAAAGGGCATATTCTCTTTGATCAAAGAGACTAAGAAGAATGCTTTCCAGCTTGAAGCAATCGAATTTGTTGCAAAGAGTGTCAAACATGAGCAAGAAAGAAAGCAACTTGCAAGTGACAGATATGTTTATTAAAACAGTTCAATTCCTGATTCAACAAAGTTGGTGCTAAAAGGGGTTTTGGGGTTTTGGGGTTTTGGGGTTTTGGGG